AAAAAAATCAATAAAACGTAAAAGAAATGAAACATCATCGAATACAATTGATAAATCTGTAAGTCAATTATCTATTTCTCAACCATCACCAAAAAAACAAAAGATGGCAAATAATGAAATTGAACAAGTAATAACAAATGGAACATCAGAAACGAAACATTCAAAATCTAAAAAACAAATTAATCATAATAATGGCGATTCTTATATACCTGATTATTTAAAAGTATCAAATCGTATATTTAAAAAAATGTTAATTAATTCGTTAGAAGGTGCTAAGGAAATTGTTAAAAGATTAAATTCAAAAGATAAAATTAATTATATTCGTCAATACGCTTATTTAATTCATCGTCTATTCTATGTACAATTACAAGAAAGTCAATGGAAATATTATTATGATATTGGTATACAAGAAAATATTTGGTCAGGACGTGTATCAAAAAAATGGGCTGCTATGAATAGTATGAATTATACTTATGGTCGATCAAAAACATTAATTATTCAACGTCTAAAAAGCATTGAACGACAACTTCAACAAGTATCACAAGCATTACGAGATTTTGGTAATCAACCATTACCTCAATGTCTATCTGGAATGAATCCTCCATTAGACTTTGAAAAAATATCAGCAATGGTTACAGCTGTTGTACGTAAAGGTCAACATAAATTAAAGCAACAATTTGAATACAATAAAAAAATGTTAAAATTAGACTCAACAGATCACCTTTTTGTAAAAAATGTTTATGATTTTAAACCAAATAAACAACAAATTCGTTGTATTCGTAATATATGGAAAGCAATTCAAAATAAAAAACAAATGGAAGAACAAATTGAAATATTAAAACATCGTATCTATTCAAATTGTTTATCACCAGCTTTTAATATTCTTGATTATACTCTTGATAAAATTGATAAAATACTTAGTCGATCAAAACAATCTGCTAGTAATGATAATGATAACCAGCAACAAACAATATTAACTGCACGTCGTTTAAAAAAAATTGGACGATTTAAATATGATATGCTCGAATTAAGTATAGCAGCTGGTGAAGAAAAAGTACGATATTATGATAAGATAGCTAAAAAAGAAAAAAAGAAATTATTAATAATTACAAATAAATTCAAGAAAACTAATTCGGATTCTGCCATATTTAAACAATTAATGGCAGCTATTGAAGCAGGTGAAAAACATATGATAGAACGTGCTAATTATATTACACAACAAAAAATGAAATCTTTTTTCGACGAAGCTC